GGAGCAGGGGGACAGGGTTTGGAGGGCAGCCGGCAGGGCTGGCACGGGGCTGGGCGCCAGGATCGCGGCTCCTCCGGAGAGGCATCCGCTGCCGGCGCCAGCAGCAGGGAGCCACGCTGGGGCCAAGATGCAGCTGGGCATGGAGACCTTGAAAGGCTCTTGCCCTGGGATGCAGAGGTTATTACTCACACCTAATTATTTATTAGCGCAGACTTCTTGGCCGGGGCAGTTTATCCACTCGTGCTGTGCTGACAAGGTAATGTCGGCTCCGGCCCTGCTTGGCCGGGGTGCGTTTCCGCTGGCAGAGCGACACGAGGAGGCGGGTAAAGCGGCGTGATGGGGCTCCGGCTCCTGCTAGCGCTGCCTGCCATGGCCTGGGAGGTGCCGGGTCAGACGGGCACCGCTCTCCTGGAGACCCTGCTCCTCCCAACACCCATCCCTGGGGTCTACAGATGCCAGGTTGCAGCCCAGCATTGTCACTTGAGTTAGCAGGAGAGGCATCAGGCATGACTTGGGAGCCAACGTGGAAATTGGTGGGGGAAGAGAGACTGCGTCAGTGTAAATGCCACTCTCTGTTCAGATGGGATGACTAATGGAGAGCAGCATCCTGCTAGGGGAAATGGAGGGAGGAAAAGCTCCACACAGGCAGGCAGGAAAAGGTGTTCGCAGAGCGGCATTTTAGTGGGATAAAATACCCGCAAAGGCGGTAGTGTCACCTTACCCAGCAGCTGCATTGATTTCCACCATGTCATAAACTTGAACGCCTCTCTCTGCTGAGCGCCGGCCTCCCGAGGCTCGGTTTCTGGTTTTATACTTTTCTATAATTTAACATTTGCCTTTGTCTCTTCCTCTTTTCATTAGTTCTCCTCCCATCAATTATCAGCTGCTGAAATGATGGCTGGTCAGTGTCTCAGAGGTTCATTTAGCCTCTACTGAACTGCTGAGCTGCAAGTCATTACTCCCTTTTTATTCCTGTTTTACCCTTGAGTTTGAAGGTGCCCTGATGTGTGAGACAAGGCAGCCTCCAGGTACCATCCCAGTCCCTGCCTCCTTGCCCAGTCTCCCCTGGGCAGTGATGCTGGGAGCATGCTGGACAGATGCAAGGGTTAGCTGAGGCTCTGCAAGGTTGACTCATTCCTCAGTCTTCTTATTTAGGATGGAAGATGTTGCACAGAAATCAGCATTTCCGTGGCAGCAACGGTGCTGGGGGAGCCCCTGCTCCGCACAAAGGTTCATAGGGAACCTCGTGGAGAGGTGCGGGACCAGCTGGGAAGGTCTGCCAGCAGCCTGCGCAGGAGGAGGCAAAGCCGGGAGCAAAGCTGAGAGCTTTGCTTGGAGGAAGAAACATTTGCATCCTGCTTTCCCTTCTTAAAAAAGTAAAAATTTCTCCTGCCTCCCCTGCTTGGCAGTCCTGCAAGCTTTGGAGCATGAATGGCTCTCAGCTGCCGGTGGCGGCCAGCAAGTCCTCCATGGAAGAGGAGTGGTCCACGGCGGAGGCCCAGAGAGCAGCCGCAGCGATCATCCTACACAAGGCTCTGTATTGTTTACGGGAACAATGTGTGTAATTCAGGAGAGATGTTCAATGTGTTTATAAATATATATTTTGACAATTTCTCGGGAGGCTGATGGTTTGCGGGGGCGTTTCTCCAGGAAAGGCTGTCTTGCAGCTTTGCCCGTGTTTGCTTGTTGTTGAGTGCCATGTTACTGAAAACATCTGAAAATCCCACTCCAAAGTCCACCCTTTGGAGATACGCCGTTTGTTCCCGTGTGCTGCTAAGCCTTTTGCATTCTTTACCTTCCTTTGCAGCCTTAAGGTTTAGGGGAAAACATAAACATCCCAATTCCTCTGCCCAGGATGCGCTGGCTGCATGACCAAGCCTGAGAGCAGCTGGGATCGGTGTGGCATTCAAACTCTCCTTGTCAAAGGGCTCCTCTAACCTGTTTTCTCCTTCTCCCCACAGGTATGCGAATACTCGTCACCCTGCTGTTAGATACTCTGCCTATGTTAGGCAACGTCCTCCTCTTGTGCTTCTTTGTCTTCTTCATCTTTGGGATTGTTGGTGTGCAGCTCTGGGCAGGGCTGCTGAGAAACAGGTGTTTCCTAGACAAGAATTTTGCAATGTAAGTACAGCAAAACAAAAAAAAATATCTCCGCCTTTTCTTCTTTTCTCCCTCTCCCCTGCTGGAGAAATCCCGGTGGTCAGCAGGGTTAGCGTCCAGCCGGGATGCAGCCAGGGCCACATCCAGCAGCACGTGGATGAGAGCATGACCATGCTGCACAGCTGCAATGGCAGATCTAAACAGGGCCATCATCTTGGTTCACAAGGTTGTTGGCTTCAGGACCCCGGGTCTGGCTAGGTACTTTTTTTTTAATGAAAAAAAAAAAAAAAACCAAACACTTTTTCAGCAGGTTTCTGAGGGTTTGGAGTGGCTTTCTCATGTTTTTCCTCTGCACCTGAAGGACAAGGATGTTAGTGGTTTGGATTATCTCTGTCTGAGGAAGCTGAGATCCCTGACTCTGAGAATTTAAGGATTTAGAACAAGTAAAAGCATTACAGCTCTCCTAAAATTGCCAGTCCCCAAAACTGTACTGGTCTGGGAGGTCACTTAGCACGCCACACCACCTGGCAGGGGGTTGATGAGATGTTCCTCACGCTGGTACAGGCAGCACCATGGAGATGCTGCTGAAACACACAAATAAATCTTTGTAGGTGTATTAAGATAAGAAGCTTGATGTGAAAGGCATTTAAGACATTTGTATACTCCTCTCAGTCTGGCACCGGCATCGGGGACGGGCAGCACATTTGATCACCTGCTCTTTTTGGTTCTTCCAAGCTAGGCAGTTGCATGGACCAGCATCCCTGCCAGGTGCTCAGAGTGCTAATAGGTCTTAATTGGTCTGATGAGCCTCACCAGAGACCCACACCCTACCCATGGCCCAGGAGCTCTATTTAAGGTCAGCCTGTGGCTCTCAGTCCTGGTTTGAGCTGTGCTGTTGGTGTGCCTGTCTGCACCTCTGCCTTTGTTCCTGGTTTCTTTGGCTCCTGCCTTAGTTCCACAGATGGGTTCTGGATCTGGTTCATCACTTGCCACGTCTTGGACTTTAAATGGACCCTGCTGCTAGCCCTAAGCTCTGCCTGCTGCGTTTGGGCTCTGTCTATACGTGTGCTGCTGGTGCTGGGATGACCTTTGGCTCCTGGCTCATCCCCTGCCGTGGAACATGCCCCTGCTCTCGCTGCTGCCTGGCAATCCCTCAGCATCGTACTGAGCTTGGGCTATTCTGCACTTGCCCCTTCAGAGGTGCAATGTAAGGACGCACCTTAGCACCCATCAGCACAGCAAAAGGATCGAAACCAAGTGCGGCCTGCCAGCTTCCACAGAAAAGGGAGGTATGCCTGGGAAAGCCCTTCTGAAGGGCTCCTGTCAGAGACTGCTGGAGATGTCAGTGGCTCAGAGGTGAGGAAATGCCCGAGACCAGCTAATCGGAGCAACTCTAGCTCTGTAAGAGAAGATAGAGCTTGCAATTATATCTGTTTGTAATCATCTGCTGTCTACAACTTGTGTTGTGTCTGGAAGACAAGCAGAGATTATCCCTCAGTTCTACCCCAGGTCCTCTCACTGATTAGCCCTGTGGCTTTCAGCTCTCTGAGCCTCTCTCTGTGCTGCGGACCATCTCTGATGGCACTTACTCATCCCATCAGAGATGCTGTAAGGCAGAAAATCAATGAGTCTGCCGTGTGTGCGCGCTTCTGCTCCCGCATCCTGATGCTCCAACCTTGCAAGCTCTCTCCTGCACCCACAGCAGGTATTTGCTGGTCACCAAGACCCTCTGTCACTCAGAGTAACTCCTTAGCTGTCATTAAAAAACCCAAAAAGTGGTGTTAAAGCCATTCTCGGGTGGCCTCATTGCACGGGGCAGGCACCATGTGCAGGCAGTGCTTTGAGCACAAGGAGTGCAGAGCTGTAATTAGCTTCAGCGAGTCCCTCTCATCTCTTTGACCAGGTTTCTAAAATACTGTGTGATTTCCTGCAATGTGGAGCTTTTAAAATTAACCACAGGGGAAACGTTTGCTAAGTAGAGATATTAAGCAGCCCAGGGAAGGCGGGCTGTTATGTAATGGCCATTAGCAGCATCAAAGGCATCGCAGGATTTTCTTATCAGGGTCCTGGTCCGGGTCACTGAAGGCAAAATCAGGCTCCCTGTGCTAAGCCTCAGGACCTGTGTTTGAAGAGGCAGGAGGTTTGTAAGAGATCTTCTCCTTCCCGCATCGCCACAGCTCTGCACTGGTTCCTGGGTGCCCCCCAGCAGCAGGTAGTGGTGAATTTGGCTGGCTGTAGGCTATCCGTTGCCTGTGCCCAAGTCTTGTTGCCTGATGCTGATGTTGTGAACAAAGTTGGAGCATTCCAGAGAAATTTGGACAAACGAGGTTTCTGGCATGCTCTGTTGCAGGACAGGTCTATTCCAGCTCTGCTGGTCCCAGTATCAGCATAACAAACATAAGTTGCTCTGGTACCATCACCCAGGCTGAAGCTACTGTCTTGGTCTGTGTTTTGCTGGGTTAGCTTTAGACCTGAGGCACCTGGCTGCAACAAACCAGTCCCTCCATTTCCAGCCAGAAACTACCGCAGGTTGATTGGAGCTGGCTGTGAAAGTTTTGGGGAATCCGGATGAAACTATTCCCATCTTTTCTGTTATTCCAGATTCATTCTCCTGAACCCATAGTTCCAGGCAGCAGGATATAGTTCACCCCTGCAGTGGTCTTTAACACCCCAACAGCAAGTTAGGTTGGGAGAAAAGGCATGGAGTGACTTTGGTGTGGCAGTAACAGGGAAAGCACTTCAGGGTTACATTATTCTGTTATTGTAAAGGGCTAAAATATACAGCACTGGCCCCAAACCAGAAGGTCCTGCTGACCAGCAGCAAGGTGCCATCTGCCCACAAGAAAGTGTGGTGATATAGGCAAAGTCAAGCCCAGGGCTGGACTGGAGAGGGTCCATCACTCTGTCCTCGTGATCGACATGAGTGCTGGAGAGCCCTGACCATCCACCCCCTTCCAGGGAGAGCTGCCAAAGATAACAAAACCAACAAAAGAAGCTTCACACAGGGGATGCAGGATTAAAATTAAGCTCCGGTTTTGGTTAGAAGTAAACAGAATAGAGCTCTGTGGGAAAGGGGGGATGAGATTCTGGTTATTTAGTTTTGTCTGCCAAGTCCCATTAAATCCCAGTGGTGGTGTCCTCAGCCTAAAATGTGTACCAGTGGTTCAGCGGGGTCTGAAGGATGGACAGGCGTGCTGTGCACCTGGGCTGGGGCTGAGCAGATGATGGTCCTGGTTCAGATTTTCCTTACCACCCCATAAACAGGAAGATCTGGGCAGGGCTCACCTTGGCGGTGGTGTCAAACCCTCCCAGATGAAACCAGAACTGGTTTTAAAGCGAGGGTGAGCATCTGAATGCAATCCAGGGTGCCAAGCAGGGAAAGGTCATAGCCCCAAAGCTTTTCTGGAGTAAAGCAAGTGTAAGCGAGCTCAGAGACTGGTGCTTCAAATATAGTTTCTCATCTGCTGCATGTTTCTTTGCATGCTCGCGGCCAGCGGCTTTCTGGGCCGTTCAACTTTACAGCAGGCATCAGTTGGAAGAACTGACTTTGATTTTGCCATCATTCTTCCTGTGGAAACCTTTTCTTTTAAATCCCCCTTGAAAGTTGGCTGCTTCAAGTAAAGAAACTATTTTTAAATATAGTACATTCTGATAAAAATGTGGGGACTTCTTTGAGGTGCACTGGAAATAACTGCTTTGTCTCTCACTTTGAAAATTGCACTGTTGCAATGCAAAATCGTGCTGGAAGGAGGTTGTTTTATTAAGGACTCTTTTAGCAGTGACTTTGAAGGAACCACAGGTAGTCACTGGGCTGTTGCAGTAGCGAATTGGCGAGCAATAAACTGGAGTGGGTCACTGCTGTTCAGGACATGTGAGAAGCTGTCACTCCTCAGCCAGCCCTGGAGACCAGCGTGGTGCTTCAGAGGTCTGTAGTGGCTCAGACACGTCTTCAAACCCCAGGGGAGCTCTCTGCCCGGACTGTACTTCCCCTGGCATTGCACGGCCAGTGGGGAACAGCAGTGCCAGGATGGTCTCCACTGCTGTGTGAGCGAGTGCAGGAGATCCCTGGCAGTGGGAGCTGGAGAGGGAATTTCACAAGGGCTTTTTGGTTGGTCTGGTCCGAGAGAAGAAGGTTCAGTATGCATGCGTGCGAAGGGCAAGAGAAGCCAGCAGTTTATCTGTAAGAGTTCCAGGATGCGTGTCTCCCCCACGAAGCCCTTCTGGCTCCCTCCTGCCATCATGAGTTGCTATCACTGTAAATAAAGGAACTGGGTCACCCCCAGCTTGTCTGGGTTGTTGCTGCTGGAGCTGCTCCTTACTTGTATGTTGTTATGCCGGGGAACGTTTTCCCCCTCCTGGAGCCTTTCAAGGAACTCAGTGGGTTAGAAGTAGGAGAAGGAAGAGAGCTGTGAAGTGCTTTGTATTTATCTAATGCTGCAGGACAGTTATAATGTGAGCACTTCAGTCTTAATTAACTCCGTACCTGCTTGGCATTGTACCGCCTTTGGCTCCTTGGCTTTTGTAGAGCTGCGAGAAGGCACAGACAGCCAAGGCAGACAGTTCCGAGTTTGTCTGAAAGGTACTTCTGAGTTCTGCTTAATTGCTCCTCCCGGCATCACTCCGTGCTGCAACACTGGGTTGTCAGCAGGGTTTCCTCCAGAGAGCAACCTCCTCTGCAGGGAACAGATCCTGCTTGGTGCTGAGTTTCCTCCACCTTTTCCCTCTCCTCCTTTGCCAAGAAGGTTGGATCAGATGATCCTTGAGGTCCCTTCCAACCTGGTATTACTCTGTGATTCCCCTGCTCCTCGGAAAGCTGCAGCAGGATCGTGCTCAGCGCACACACACTACTCCAGCAGTCGTGGATGATGTCCTGCCTGGGATGGTTGGGCTGGGAGGACTGAACCCGGGGGAAGATGCCGCAGAGAATAACTGTTCAGCCTCCTTTGACATAGGAGAGGATGGACTTTCCTGCCCCACTGTTGTCCTTCCTGCACATGAACATGCCTGGGGACAGAGGAAGGAAAATGCATTGCAAAGCTGCTGCAAGCCCAGAGAAAGATGTGTACTGGGCAGCTGGCCGAGAAAGGGGTGTTAATCCTTTCTAATGTGATAACAAGATCCATTCTAGGGCTTAGTTTCTCATGTCTTTTCCCCAGAGCGCAAGGGTCTCGTGATTAGCGGGTTCATTACCATTAATAAGTTATTTGGACTATGCCTGTTGGCAAGTAACAAGGAAGTCGGATTGACCTTTCCTGCATGTGGAGGTAGATGGTTTTGGCAGAGCCGATTCATTTATTTTGTGGATATCGGGGATTCCCTCATTCTGCAGCACTGTTGTTTCTTATCCTTGCTCTCCTTCCTTCTTTCCCCTTTTCGGTTTTGCCAGCAGGGTCATCAAGCAGAGGAACTAGAAGAAAGTCTTAAATTTGCAGTGCTTGCTCTCAGCTGGTGTGTCCCTTCCCTGCTGTGTTTGGTGATGCCACGGCATCGTGCAGGTCCCTCCCACACGGGCGGATGCTCGTGGTGTCTCTGTGCCCAGGGCAGACATGGAAGAGGGAAGGTCTTGAAAAGGGTTGGGCAGAAATTTGCCCCCGTGTGACTGATTTTGGCCTGTCACAGGGAGGACTTTCTTTTAGCTCGTAAATGATCTGGGGGACAGTTGCAAAAATGAGCAACGCAGAGAAAAGGGAGGACAAAATCAGTTAGGCAGCAGCAGAACCAAATCAAGCTTCATCCACCCTTCGCAGTCAAGCTGTGCTTTGTTTTCCTAGTTTTATTTTCCTCTCACCGCCACCAAAGTATGTCATTCTTTTGGTTCTCCAGAGGGATTATGCCCAGATTTTTTTTTTTTCTATGCAGCTTATTAGACGACAGCCCAGGGCGCTGTGTCTGCAGGCAGTTTTTCTCCTTCAGCCCAAGGCCTCCTAAATGGTGACTCAGGGGAAACGCAGCCTCTCAAATCTGTGTATGTGGCTCATTACAGGCCTTTGGAGTTGAAATGTGTAGTGAATAGAGAAGCGTTGCACGGGAGGAGGATCGGTCCTGTAGGTCCCCAGCCTGGTTGTGTCCCTTCCCTGCGATGAAACTGGGTGCGTGGGCTCCAGCAGAATTGGCTGGCACACTGCTCTCTGGCTAACTGTCTCCCTGTCCAGCTTGCCCAGCGGGGGTGGGCATATCAGGAGATCAGAGATCAGCTCTGGGGGCTGAAATAGAGATGATTAATTTGGGACAATGAACACGTATGAGAGTCCAGCAGCTGGGAGGGCAGACAGCTGCCGAGTCGCGTGAAGCACTGGATGTTGTGTACGTTGTGCTGTGGTGGAGAGACGGCTCACAGGGGAGCTTGGGTGTGAGACTGGAGCGGAGCATCAGCTGATGCATCAGCCGTTCTGTCTGAGCACTTCTTCCATGGTCAGTGTTCTTGGCACGGGCATGTGCATGTCTGCATCTAAACACGAAACTGCTCCCAGGAAAGGAGTGTGTGCAGCCGTAGCTGCTAATTACACAATCATCCCTCCAGATGGTCCATCTCCCTCTGCAAGTCCAGCTTTGCTCTGGGTAGAATCCTAATTACGCTGGCCCATGAGCTGCAGTGTGCTGAGCCTTCCTGTCCTGCCTGCTGCCAAAAGGTGTTTGTGATCAAGAAACGCCTGCTGCTGGTGTTGTGCTGGGGTGTTGCTTTCAGGGTGGTGAAGGAAATAAGTATTTGCTAAGTGTCACAGCTCCACCTGGCTCTGGAGCAAATTTTCCTGGAGAATCTGTTGTAGTTTGTAGTCTAGTTGCTTTGAGAAGGTAGCAAAAGAGACCTCTTCTGCCGTCATCTTAGGAACTTAGAGCAGCTCTTTGCCTGTAACCCATGAAGTCCTCTTTTCAAGAGAGGTGAAGTCAGCGCCAGGGAAGCCGGTCATACCCAGAGTCCTGTGGCCATGCTACTTTGCTGTGTCCTACAGTGCACAGCGTAGTCCAGGCTTGGTCTGAGCTCTGGGGATGTTAGACCCCTGTCACCATCACAGGGTATAGAATGATCCCAATGTCCCATTTGAAAGACTTCAGAGCTACTGAGCACCTGCTATTGAGTTCCTTGGGAGGAGCCTAATGAGACATGCACCCATGGCCTCTCAAACCTGGAGGTTTTAGAAGAAAATGTCCTTCCTGAGGCTGGTGGGGCTGAGATGGCTCTGCCCTGGGTTGCATCATGTCTCATGGAGGTGCAGAGCCCTCCCAGCACCTCCCTGGGTGAGCAGGCTGAGGCAGGCATTGTGGCTGTAAGCAGAGATGTCCCAGGTGTGGGGGGTCCCCACCACATCTATTTGAGGGTGCAGGAGCCCTTTGCATGCGAACTGAGCCCCTCTCAGCATACCCACTGAGGCCAAAACAGAGCTGCCAGGGCTCTGCCTGCCACTTGTGAGTTAGCAGAAGTCACTTCTCCGGTGTCTTGTCTCCTCCTCCCTCTGTTTCTTCTCTCAAGTTCCCCGGCTGTCTTTGCCCACAGTCAGTAGCACTCCCAGACACATCCCTGCACCCTGGTGCGTTTTCATCCTCCGCCAGCCTCCGAGGTACCCCCCATTGTGTGACAAACTCTGCTGGTTGTAGTGTCTGATCTGTTAGCAAACACCGTGCTAGCGTAGCACTCAGCCTTTTCTTCAGCTTGTTTTATATGGAAATTTCCTCCAAGTGAAACCAATTCGTGGGAGGGGAAGGAGAAGGCTTTTAGGCAGTCCTGGAGGAAAAACATTTTTCAAGTTTCTTCCTTGTCTCTTGAATCTAAGGCATAGAAACTGGGAGGAAGATAGCACAGGTTTGTCTAGAGGTGCGGGAACGCTGCAGTGGGAGGGCAATATCTGGTGAATATATTTAATCACCGGTGAACAATACCCAGTTCCTCTCCCTTGCTACTCCTGCCTGCCCCTGAAGCTGGATGAACCCTCAACATCCATCTCAAGTAATTCGTTGATGGAGAACCAAATTCCCCAGGAAAGTTGTTCGGGTTAATTTCCCCTCAGCTCTGCCCTGCAGCAATTGCGCTCTCCTTAAAATGCAGTTGCTGAGTGACTCTTGCTTCACTCAAGGGTTTTGGGGAGCAATTTCAAGCAATCGGCTGGAATAACGCTAGTTTGGCACTCATTAGAGCCAAATTTATTCAACAGTTAGGTACATTTAGAAACAGATAAAAATACAGCTGTCCTGTCTTGAAGAATTACCTGCTTATCTTCTACCCACATCTCACTTGGTCATATAATTTGTGTGTTGCCTTTTCTCTTATCTCCTGACTGATTATATAGCATCTTAGATCCCTGCGGCTCTGAACACAGCAGATAAAGTCGGCTCTAGGACTCTGCACCTTCTCATTTTGAGCAGTGCTTCAGCAGTGTGAGTGCCGGTGGGTCTCACTAACGCTAATCAAAGAGCATGAAAAGTCCTGGGCTCTGGTCGCTCGCTGATCTGCCCCAGAGCACGGTTTGGGAAAAGGCGCATCCCTGCCATGCCGCAATTAGAGCACTTGCTTATCTGAGCTGTAACAGAACCATAAACTTGATCCAGGCCAATTAAATCAGATATGCAGTAAGCATACAGTTCCTATTAATGTGGGCTCTTTTTTTTCTTATGTAAGTACAGAAGGAATTTGAGATGGCCTGTGGCTGAGCCTCTCCTTGTTAAAGTTCAGCTCACTCATCCCGGAGAGGTGCTGATGGGCAAATTTATTGGAAAGCTGCTTTGACATCAGCTTTTCCAAAGCATCTTCTGAGCATCAGAAGAGTGATCTTAAAATCCTTAGATGGAAACAAAAAATTCCCTAGATTTTTGGGAAGCACCTGGCCTGCTGGGGTTTGTCCTCTCTATACCCTCTCATCTCAACTTCCAACTGCCCTGTTCACTTGGGAAAGCTCAGGCTGATATTTAACTGCAAGATCACTGGTGCCTTACAGGATGCTGTAAGCAAAAAGCTTTGTAGATAAAGGTAGGGGCTGATATCTCAACTGTGACTTGCTGTCCCCAGTCTGATAGGGCTGAAGGGCAAAGGAGAAATAACGCACCCAAACCAGGGACAGGAACCAGCGCCTTTTGCTGCTGATGAAACAAGGGGTGCATTGCTTGTCCTCATTCTTCTCTTTCTTTCCTCCTCCAGGACATACAACCTTACTTTCCTGCATCCGTACTACCGAACAGACGAAGCGGAGGAGAATCCATTCATCTGCTCATCGCATCGTGAAAACGGCATGCAGAAATGCTCCAACATCCCAAACAGGAGGGAGTACAAGGTGGAGTGCACCTTGAGCATGGACTCCTACACCCCAAGTTTATACAACCCTGACTTCAGCAGCAGGAACGCCTGCATAAACTGGAACCAGTATTACAACGTATGCATGGCAGGGGACGTAAACCCACACAACGGAGCTATCAATTTTGATAATATTGGATATGCCTGGATAGCTATTTTTCAGGTAGGATTCTCCTAAAGATTTTTCTGTTTCTTTTTGTTTTGTCATCTTTTGCTTGGGAAGGTTTTGATAGATGCATCCGAGGAGAAAGGAATTTGCTTTCATCTGCCTGAAACTGCAAATAAAGACACACTGAGTAAATGAATCAGACAATAACCTGCACAAATGTTGCAAGAGAGCATTTGGAGAGAACAGCCATTTTTTCCAGTGCATTTTAGAAGAGGGGGAGAATACTTCTTGAGGCAGACAAAAGCACTGCAAATCAGACCTGGACAAATCCCAGGGATTTTTGAGAGTTAGGGTCTATTTATTGCTGTAGTATCAGGAAATGGAGAGTGTTGTCCAAGTCCTTAAGCAAGACTTAATATCGTTCTAAAATGTAGGAACTAGCTCGATGGTGTGGTTTGGGCTTGATTCTAGAATTGCGGGGTTGTACTGATTAAGATTACAACTGGAGGGAGGAAGAAATAATCCGAACGGTCCATTCTGGCTGGAATACCTGTGAAGAGATACTACTCGAGGACTTGGAGTCTCTCTTGATCCACACCTGTACAGTTCTTCACTAGAGACCAAAGTGGGGAGCCTTTACAGGTGATGCTCCAGCAACTGAAGCATTTTTAAAGCATTTGTAGCTCTGGAACATTGGATAACTCACCTACACAGTTCCGAGGCTCTGGTCTCTTAGGGCTAGCCTATTTTAAATGATCCGTGTACTCTTTTCCATTTTTAATTTGCGCTTCCTGTTTTTAATACAAATTTCCATATGCTTTTGCCTAGATGCCCTGTTTTATTTAGTCTTCCTGAAGTGTAGGTGACATCTATTCCTAAAAGAGAAGTTCCTTTAGTTTTGTTAATGATGAATAACTGCTCATTCAGAGCCCTAAATACCATTTATGAATTTCCTTCTAGTTTCATATTATAGTATGAACTTAATAACTTTCAGTTTTCATCTGGGAGTTGTAAAGGGGCGATTGCTTGCTCTGAGCATCTTGTTTGCTCTCATGCTGTTGCAGTAGCACACCTTGAATCACACTGCTGCTGGTGTCAGAGGCTCAAAACCGAATCCAGAAGGGTTCAGACAGATCCCAAGTCTCTACTAGGCTATGTTTTTAAAAATGCTGTGGTTCTCTCCTGGAATTAGTATGTCGAGAGGAGCTGCCGTAGTAATTTTTAATATTCCTGACTGGTGGCGAGTGTTGCATAAAGGAAAGAGGGAAATCAAAGCGAGAGTAGTAGATAAGTCTCCGGCTCCACTTGCATTCTCCTTTTTCTGCTCTCGCATAGTTCTTTGACAGAGCTTGATGGATGTTCCCAGGAGGTCCCGTCTGGCTCCCACCATGGGGCGGCAATGTTCTTACTGGAGAAAGGGCAGAGGGCAGCGCGTTGCAGAGTGCCTGTGGTAGCGCACTGAAAATGAGCAGGTGCTTCTCGAGGGGTCCTGCTTACTTTTTGCTTCCTGAGCCTTTTTGCGGGCTGCGTGTTTTCATTTCATGTTGGCATTTCATTTCCTCAGCCTGAAAAAGTACAGTTTTAAGCCAGGAAGAATAAACCAGCCGCAGCAGAGGTTTCGACTGATTCTTTTGGGCAGAGGGGAGCGTCTGGCAAAGTTGGATGTTGTATCCATAGATCATTTTGGCAGCTGCCAGGGGGTTTATGATTGGTTTTAGTGCTGCTTAGGCCATCCAAATGTTAAAGAGTATTTCAACCAAAACTCTTCTTACATCTTTATTCCTTTCAGAAGTAGGACTCACTTTTAGAAGCTGAAAAGAATATAACTCCAGGTAAAGCAGCTGTTGGGAGTAAGGTGCTTGCTTAACTTTGATATGGAAAGAGTAAATCATTACTGCAAGAGGTTGGGTGCTCAATCAAAACAATTGCTGTAAGCAGAGAACATTTAACAAATAAAGCTATTGTGTTGTACTCTCATTACATTTAATAGTTGAAGCTGGGTAGCACCAGGTCAGCAGTTAGATGACGCCTCGGAGTAAGCAGTGCAGAAAGTAGAACTGATGGGTTTAGTAGCTCAGGAGCTTCTCTGTGAATTGGTATTGAATTACTGGGCAGAACGCACTCTGCTGTGTTCTGGATGAGACAGGTCCAATTGTCCTGATCCCCTCTGGGAAATAATGAATACGTGGTGCTTTGCAAGAGTTATGATGGTGGACTGAACCTCAAGGTCTGGCAAGCCTCCAGTTTGCATAATGGCAATCTTAAGACTCAGCTGGATAGAGCATCCCTCATGATTTATCCCAAATGAGTTGGAAATCTAGCATGGTTTAAGAGCTGTCAGAAGGGATGTTGGTGAAATGAGCCCCACAGGTGAGATTCGGAAGGAAGCTTGCAAGCGCAGTGACTGCAAGTTGTGCCCAAGAGTTTCCAAGGGCGCAGTTTGATACTGTGCAGACTGCAAACAAACGAAACCAAAAGCATATTTTGACAGGGAAATCTGTTCTCTACTCCAAAACGTCCTTGTGAATGGTGCGCCAAGGCAGGCAGCTAGCAGTATGGCCAAGCTCTTTAGGCAGCCAAGCTGAAAGACATTTAATGTCATGGTAGTGATCCTGAACTTGCAAGTAACCTGGCACGTGCCAGCGGGGCGTACCAAACAACAAAATGCATTGTTGACCTTCCAAGCAGATGAGTAAGTCGAAGGCATCAGACATGAGAACCAACCTAGTGTAAATAATAAAGTCTTAAAGCAATAAAGACGATGGCTGTGTCCATGGGTGTTTGAAAGAGTAATAATTCCTTATGTAATCCTGCAAGTGATTCATGTTTTGATTCCCCTCATTTGTTGTGTAATAGGCTAATTCATGTATATATTTGTTACAAAGGCACGTTCAGTGGCAAATTATGTGAACTAATTAGCTTATTACAAAATAAATGAAAGGAGATGGAACCTAAATTAACTGTGAGGTTTGACATGATATAAAGATCCCTTTATTGCACATGAATTTCAGCCACAATAGTAAAAGCAGTAATTACAGGTATTGTTGTCACACTGCAAATGATGAATTACCCACCTAACAAAGTCCAATTTAATTTGAATTACTGACAGTCTCAGTGGAACAACCAAAACACTGTCACCTTCCTAACCATCAGTCTGGGAGTGGCCAAGCCTGAACGCAGAGACCCATTAAAACAAAAGAGGGTTGGATGGCTGGTGAGATACACAGTTTGGGAAGAAGAGATGATTTAGGCTACTTTGCAAACCACAAAACCATTGCTTGGATGATTTCATGTCTGACTTCCAGAAAAGTAAGACTTATAATAGCACTTTACATCAGGAGGCAATGCTTTTGGCAAAACTAGTGAGGCAAAGTTGAAGGAGCAATAACATTCAGCTAGGCAGAACCAAGATGAGATCAAGAGAACAAGCTGTTCCTCCTTGCCTCCTTTCAGGATGTAGCTGGAAGGACTGAACTTTGAGAGCAAATGTACGGGAAAAAATTACATAAACATTTCTGGAAATATCCATCCAATACAAGACAATATGAGTGTGGCAGTTCAGAGGGGCTCTGACACTGCTGGTGCTGGCTGAGTTACCTTTTCTGTAGCCTCCTCTTCACATTTTGTTTTTCAGAAGTGGGTGCATTTTCTAAGGGGCTTCCTTAATGAAAGACCCTCTTGAAATCAGTCCTTGGGTGCAGCGCTCAGATTCATGATTCTGTTTCTGGCTTATGTTATTCTGAGCGCATGTTGCTTCTACAAGGTTTCGCTTAAGAAGACATATCAGTTAACAAGTTAATCAAGTCATACAAGTAACACATCTCTGGCCCATCATCAGAAGGCCCTAGCGAGGGAATTCTCAGAGGAGACGGTTTTGCATTCAGCAGCCCCCTTGCTGCTGTCAGGGGAAAAAAAAAAAATAACCCAACAAAAAGCCTGGTTGTGTTCACGAAAGCTGAAGACAGCCCAGCAGGCACACGACATGATAAGAATGCCCAAGAAAGAAAAAGCTGAATCGCCTTCTGAAGAAAGATGTCTGGAAATAAAGCAGCATTAAAGCAACTGTCAGCAGCAGCAAGAGTTCAAGGTGTTATCTTGATAGCGTGCTTAGATGGAGAACAACTCTTTGCACGTGGTCTCACCAAAGCTAGGGGTATGTTACAGCCACAAAGGTGTGGGTGACCAGCTGAGGAGAAAAGAACAAGTTTGAGGTGGGAAAGTGGGGGGAACTGATGCCACCCACTTCTTCCTTCATTTGTCCTTCTGGGGATACTTTACTCCTAAAGCGATGGCAGGCTGCCTGAGCAGGTACGACAGCTGGCACTGATGGCCATATGCTGCAGGCCACCTGCCGAAATAGCCTTTTTGTTTGGATGTGAAGTTACCTCTTCTGTGCTCTAGCTTGTCAAAAAAAGCCCCTGGGAGCTTGTGTAAGCTATCTCAATCCAATCAAGGATTTAGTCTTTTTGACCCTGCGCTGTGGGCTGATGAGGAGCTTGATTTGTCTCTGTGTTGCTGACTCAGCTTCTGGCAGGACCTGCGCCCCTACGAGCTGAGCCTGTAGATGGGCCAGCTGAGAAGGTACAGAGCTTGGGGGGAGATGTCAGGTTTGGAAAGAGGAAGGTTCAGTTGTCTCATTTCACCGTTGTTTGGTGCCCTGATCTGTTCCACAGCTGTTGCCCACTTCACATGTTTTTCAGCCTCTGTACATCATGGTTGAAATCCTTCCCAGAGGATTTCTCACTTGCCTGGAAATATTTCAGCTAAGTCCATAATGGGAACCATATCTTCGGTTTGAATTAAAGGAAAAATGACATGCACTTCAATGCACTTCTGTGGCCAAATACACGAATGAGCTTGGAGTCCCTCCTCATCCATACTGTCACTCAGTTAAGAAAAGATCTTGTTTGAGGAGAGAAGACCTGAAGCTCTAACGTTGCTTTCCCTTAGAGTAAGCACAAACCTCCACCCTGGAACCTCCTGGCAGGACAGAAATGGCAGTCATTCCTCTTGGTTCCTACCCACATATCTTCTTAGCTGGGCTGTTACTCAGA